GGAGGTCACTAAGCCAACAAAATATAAAGTCTTCAACAGAGTGGCGCTCTCTCTCTAATTCCAGCGTGATTCTCAACTTTGGATGCGTCATTCCATTTCTAGAACTAATTTGGCAGTTCCAGGTTTCTTTGATTTTCTGAATAATTGCTATTGTGTAAATCCAGATAAAATTCCTTTGCAAGTGAAATAAATATCTGTATCTTAAAATATAAAACATCACTGTCTCTATGAGAAGCAGTTCCCTTTCTCATCAGTAGTGAGGGTGTCACTCTCTAGATGTCTCAGCCAAGAGATGAATAGCAGGAGCAGAGGCGGAGACTGAGCTACCTATCTGCTTTCATGGACCTTCTCGGCCCAGGTCAGGCACTCTGTCTGTGGAAGCCATTCTCACTGCAGCCTGGGTTGGAGGACTCAGGGCCCCTTGGAAGTTCGGCATTGTTCACAGGCCCCCAAACTACTGATGACATTGATGTGTGAATAGAGACTCTTCTCTTCCTCTACTATATTACCCATCACTACACCTACAAAACATGTTTGTTTGTTTTTCCTAGAAGTTGCGTCTTTCAGTCTCCTAGTGGTCAGTTTTTGCGGCTAAAACAGGCTTGCATTACCAATATGTGATTTTTGATCTATAAAAATAATGAGCCATCTAAAGATCTCAAGTTTTTTATTTCTCCCTCCAATCTCTCTCTTTCCCCTGTTCCCTCGCTTCTTGTTTTCTCTTACCTCTCTATCATTTTTGGGCACCCTTTGGCCTAATACAAATTCTATTATTATTATTATTATTATTATTATTATTATTATTTTGGTTACCCTCACCCGAGGACATTCAGATAGAGCGGGAGGGAGAGAGGGAGGAAGAGAGAGAGAGAAACATCCATGTGAGAGAGACATATCGAGTGGTTGCCACCCACACGACCCCAACCGCGGCCGGGGACAAACTGCAACGGAGGTACGTGCCCTTAGCAGGAACTGATCTCTGGTCTCTCTGGACTGCGGGCTGACGCTCTAATTGCCCATCTAAACCGGCCAGGGCCTAATTCTTTTTTTATTTCCTGATACTATTGTTTATTGTGTTGCTTTTGCTCTTATCTAAATTAGATTAGGTAATACAAATATCTGTCAGCATTTGCAGCAATTTTACCCCAAATTACTAAGAGTTGTAATTCTGAGAGTTGTAAATTAAAGAGTTGTAATTCTGTTCTTATTGAATTTAACATCATACCTTATTAAGCATAAAGAGTGTAGTTAATTCTAATTTGTAAGTGACTCTAGTTAATATCTTCACTATTTTAGAAGATTTAGTACGTTTTGGCTTGTGTGAATGTGTGTGTGTGATATGTATGTATGCAGCTTATGTTATGACCCAGAATAGTAAATAAATCAGAAAAAGAAAACCTTACACAGTTGTCTGTCTTTTTTAGAGGTGCTTGTGGGTGGATGGCTTTTTCTTATAGTTCTTATTTGTGGAAGGAATAATTGAAGTTTAAAGCAATGCACATCTAAATTCCTCTTTTATTTTGGCCATTGTCCACTGACATGTTAGCAGAGAAATAGCCACTGAGAGTGAACAACACTGTTGTTTAAACTAAAAGCTCGGTACCAGTATCATATAAGATAAAGGAAGGGTCTGCCTTATTTCTGGTCTTTGAGGCAATTCTTGTAGAATCTAGTGACATGATAATTTTCATGTATAAGTCTAGAGATCTTTGAAAGAGTTGGGTTAAATATGTTTTATATAATTATTCCCATTTTAATTGGATAGGAATGTGAGATCCAAAGAAATTTAATTTTTGAACTAATTTTGTTATAGTTTTTTGGAGGGTAGAGAGGGAAGATGAGAGGAGGGAGGGAGGGGAAGAAAGAGAGAGAGAGAGAGAGAGAGAGAGAGAGAGAGAGAGAGAGAGAACTATTATTATAATAATAATGCCAGCACATACATAGGAGGTATATTCACAAGGTAAGAAGAGATAATCGGGTGCTTCTAGCTTTGTATTTACATTTCTCTGTTGTAGGTAAAGAAAAAATATAGCCAGATTGGTCTGCCTCTGGCCAACTGCTATGCTACTGGCATTTACCTCATTCATCAGAATTTATTGTCTGCAAGACCCATCCAAGGTGCTTTTGTTGAATGAGTGGCATGCTCTTTCCCTTCCCCTTTCCCCCATCATTGATTTAGTGGATCTGGGTGATCTTTTGAAATGTGAGTCATATATATATATATATATATATTGCTTGAAACACTTAGCATTCTTTTCTTGATGTGTAATTTTTATTATGTAACTCATTCTGCAAATGGGCGAGTCAAGTTATTTTCTGTCGTCCCACACAACTGATGTAATTAATGCATACCAAACTTTTTGCCAAGTTGCTTATGCTGTAAATGCCAAGAGGTACTTGCTGGTGGGCATGAAGAAATAGTTAGTCTTCCAATGCTAACCAGGCTTCAAGGCCTGTCCCGTAACACCATCCTTCCCAACAACCAGATTGCTGCCTCTCATCCTGTCTGTATGAAATTCTAGAGCAGCCTCTGCCACTCACTTTTTATTTATTTCACCAATCTTTTATGAATATGTAGCCAGTAAACAAGCAACACAGGTAGGTTTTTGAAAATAAAAATGGGACTAGTAATTGATAGAACTTTCGTGTATTTTAATTATAGGCAAAATATCTTTCACTGCTTGAAAATCTATTTGATGTATAACTAGAGTTTATGTATTTAAAAAGAAATTAAGCTCAATGTTAAAACAGTAAAAGTTAAACTGCAAAACTTGTTGATATTGGAACCAGGTTGATAGGCTCCATAGTATGACTAACAAACTAGCCTCATATTCAAGTAATCTAGATTCTAATGCCACCTCCTTCCTCAAGTTTCTTTGTAACTCATAAAGTCCATTATGTCCAATCGAATGCTTACAGTCAAATTGTATAGACTTGAAAAGGGAGCCCCCATGCACTGTTGGTGGAAATGCAGATTGGTTCAGCCACTGTGGAAAACAGTATGGAATTACCTCAAAAAACTAAAAATAGAACTGATTTATGGCCTAGTGATTCCACTTCTGGGAATTTTTCCAAAGAAACCTGAAATATTGATTTGAAAGAATAGAGGCACCCCTATGTTCATTGCAGCATTATATATAATAGCCAAGATTTAGAAGCAGCTCAAGTGTCCATGAGTAAAAAGATGAGTGGATAAAAGTGCTGCAATACACCGGGCCGGTGTGGCTCATTGGTTGAGTGTTGACCCATGCACCAAGAGGTTGCCGGTTCGATTCCTGGTCAGGGCACATGCCCAGGTTGTGGGCCCAATCCCCAGTGGGGGGTATGCAAGAGGTGACCAATCGATGTTCTCTCTCTACCTCTTTATTCCTCTCTCTCTAAAGAAATTTTTTTTTTTTTACAAATACTGCAATACATTTACACAATGGAATGCTACTCAGCAGTAAAAAAGAAGGAAATCTTACCTTTGTGACAGTATGGACAGATCTGGAGAGTATTATGCTAAGTGAAATAAGCTAGTCAAAGCCAAGTATCATATGATTTTAGTCATATGTGGAATATAATGAACACAATGAACTAACAAGCAAAATGGAGACAGAGTCATAGAGAGCAGGCTGACAGCTGTTGGGGGTTGGGGGCTGTGGGAGGATAGAAGCAATGAGCAAAAAAGAAAAAAAAAGAGAAAAAACTCATGGACGAGGACAACGGTATGGAGATTGTGGGGTGGAAGGGTTGTGTAGAGGTAGAGGAGGGTATGAGGGAGGATAAACGGCGATGGACGGAGACTTGAATTGGGGTGGTGAACACACAGTACAGTGTATAGATGATGTGTTGTGGAATTGTGCCCCTGAAACCTGTCTAATTTTGTTAATCATTTCACCGCAATAAATTCAACAAAAAAGGGAAAAAAATATACAAACTTGAATGTATTTATCAGAACCTTAACTAGCTGTTTAATGCCAAGGACCAGCCACAAACAAGATTACTTTTATTTTGGTCACATTTAAACCAGTAGTAGTAATTTAGACATATCTAAGAAATATTTTGATGTGCATTGAGCATACAAAGTAGGTAGACAGTAGAATCTATTAGAAATAAACATGAGCCCTGGCCTGTTTGGCTCAGTGGTTAGAGCGTCGGCCTGCGGTCCAGAGAGACCTGGGTTTGGTTCCCGCTAAGGGCATGTACCTCGGTTGCAGTTTGTTCCCGGCCCTGGTTGGTTGTGCGGGTAGCAGCCACTCGATATGTCCCTTTTACGTTGATGTTTCTCTCTCTCTCTTCCTCTCTTTCTTCCTCCCACTCTATCTGAACAAAGAATGGAAAAATGTCCTCAGGTGAGGATAAAAAAAAAAAAAGAAATAAACATGAATAGTTGTGAGTTACTTCTTACTTACTCTTCAAATAAACAAAGTCGAGTCATTTTTCACTAAGAAATTGTACCCAAATGACTACATTCACGTGGTCCAATTATGGAAACTGCATGCTTCTGCACACTGGCCCAGCCTCTGTAATACAGTCTTAGGCCACCCAGTCAGCCAGCCAACTAGGCAACTTTGCTTATGTGTTCTTTTTGCCCCAGCCTTAGTCACCTTTTTATGTCACATCTATCAGTGGTAAAGCTACGAATCTTGCCTGTCTCGCAGATGTTATGCAAATAAAGCGATACATGTAAAAATGCTTTGCTGAGTGTGTGTGGAGATATTTAGCTGTGATATTATCTCTTTTACAGGAAGAAACTCTGAGCAAATACTTTCATTTAGTCATCTCTGTAACCAAGGAAAAAAAGCAGTGCTCCAAAAATAATGATTTTTAGAATCGAAATATAAACGAATGAGTGAATTTTCTGTTACTTAGGACCACGATGCTAGTCTCTCATTGAGCATACAATAATAAAATTATGGTTTATTTTGTCATTAAATAAATCAATATTCATTCTGCTTTGTAATGGATTATATGTTGGCCTTATGAGATGGTCTTAATTATGCTGGTCTTCTTCACAGGGCTGGCCTTTGCTATTCTCTCATCCGTGCACCCAGTGTTCGGTTTATATGGGTCTTTTTTTCCTGCCATCATTTATGCCGTGTTTGGAATGGGACGTCATGTTGCCACAGGTGACAATTTCTGTTTCTGATTATGCTTCTCATGTTACCAAAGAAAGGGACCTCAGAGGTGATCATTAGTTATTGATTACATTTCTAATTTTACTACTGAACATCTCAGCAAATATTAGAGCCAAACATTTACCTTTTTGTGCCTCAGCTACACAATACCTGTTGTAGTTTTCTGCTATTTTTTTGTGTAATCAGGTTATTGTTTTTAGTTGTTTTGCATTTTTAGTTGTAAAGAGGTCATAAAAGGAAGACAAATGTTCTGAATTTACAATGAAATGGAGAAAGTAAGCACTTTCTCCAAAAAGAATATCTAAAATTTAGTGACTTAAATATTGAAAAATATTTTCCACGTAATTTATCTTTTAGGTTTCTTCTAAGCTATAATCTCTAATGCTCTTTAATTAATATATCTTTGACCTCACTTAGCTCTTCATTACCAAATATAATTCGACCGTCACAAGTACGGTGGTCTGTTCATAGAGCAGGATGGTTGAAAATGTGGGTTTTGGAATTAGTCCTGGGTCTATGTTTCATTTGTTGCTTGTTGTCTGCATGACCTTGGGCAAAGTTTTAAAGGTTTACTTGCTGCTTTCTTAATATTAAAATGCAAAAAAAAAAAAAAATTCATATTATTGTAGTGAGAATTTAATGAGATAATTGATGTACAGTGTCTGGTTTAGTACTTGCTACACAATAAGATTTAATAAAAGCTATAATTATTATTATTAAACGATGTCTTAATTTTTATTAAGGTAATAATGATAAAAATACCTGTAACTAGAAATATCCATAGAGTCATTTCTATTCATTTTGTGCTTGTAAGATCTCTGCCTCTCAGTAAGCAATACCTTTTGTGTCTATTTCTTCAGTGGTCAATTTGTGTTATTGATTGTGTTAGTTTCCTTTTTCTGATGTAACAAATTACTATGAGCTTAGTGGTTTAAAACAAGACAAGTATTATTTAACAGCTGCAGAAGTCAAAAGTCTGAAATGAGTCTTACTATAGCATAACACATTCAAAGGGCTGAGTGCCTTCTTGATTTATCCAATTTCTAGAGGCTTCCTGCATTTCTCAGGTCATGGAGCCTTCCTCTATTTTCAAAACCAGCAGAGTAGTGTCTTCAAATCTGTAATTCTGATATTTGCTCTATCACTCATATTCAAAGGAACCTTGTGATTACATTGGGCACACCTGGATATGTTATATGTAATAGGTATATATGAATATATGTATATGAATGTGCATATATGTATATGTATGTATTTAAATCTGAAACCATAGATGTACTATTTATTAGATTTTTGTTAAGAGCTTTACATAAGTTATTTTATTTTGTCCAAACACAAAATTTTTATTTTTTTTAAGTTTTCTCTCTTTTTATTTCTATAAGTTTATTATTGCAGCATCAAAGTTAGTTATTTTATAAAATATCTCAGTCAGGATGTTTTTGCTGATTGTATCCTTCTGGTATAGTTTAACAGACTTTTTCTGTATTTCTTTCTTGGTATTTTAAATAATGTTTCTTTTTTCTCTGTATTTCTTTTTTTTAAATTTTAAATAATGTTTTATTTTCCAATTATAGTTGACATACAATATTATATTAGTTTCAGGTGTAGAACACAGTGATTAAACATTATAGAACTTACTAAGTGATGTCCTTGATAAATCTTGTACCCATCTGACACCACACAGTTATTACAATATTATTGATTATTATTTCCTATGCTGTATTTTACATCCCTGTGACTGTTCTGTAACTACCAATCTGTACTTCTTATTCCCTTCACCTTTTCACCCCTCCCCTAAACCTCCTCACATCTGGCAAACCTCAAAATATATTTATGAGTCTGTTTTTCTTTTCCTGCTTGTTCATTTATTTTGTATTTTAGATTCCACATGAAAGTGAAATCATATGGCCTTTGTCTTCCTCTGCATGACTTATTTCACTCAGAACAATACCTTCTATATCTATTCAAGTTGTTGCAGATGGCAAGATTTTTTTTCCATTGTATGTAGGCACTTGCTTTTTATACATTCATCTGTTGGTTGCCACTTAGGTTGCTTCCATATCTTGACCATTGTAAATAATGCTGCAATAAACATGTGGATGTACATGGCCTTTTGATTTAGTGTTTTGGGTTTCTTCAGATAAATATCCAGAAGTGGAATTGCTGGACACTTCTTTGCTTCTTGTTATATTGCCTTTAAAGTCTATTTTGTCTAGTATAAGTATTGCTACCCCAGCATTTTGTTTGTTTGTTTCCATTTTTATGAATTATTTTTTTCCATCCTTTTACTTTCAGTCTGTGTGTGTCTTTTAATATGAAGTTTCTTATAGACAACATATGTAAGGGTCTTGTAATCCATTCTGTCTCCATATGTCTTTTGAATGGGGCAGTTAATCCATTTGCATTTAAAGTAATTGTTGATAGATATGTATTTATTACCATTTTATTATTCATATTTTTTCTTCCTTTTAAAGAAGACCCTTTAACATTTTTTTGTAGTACTGGTTTGATAGTGATGAACTCCTTTAGCTTTTTCTTGTCTGGGAAGCTCTTTATCTGTCTCTGATTCTAAATGATAACTTTTGTGGGTGGAGAAATTTTGGTTGTAGGGCCTTGATTTTTTTCATCACTTTGAATATTTCTTGCTAATTTTTTCTGGCCTGCAAAGTTTCTGTTGAGAAATCAGCTGACAGTCTTGTGGGAGCTCTCTTACAGGTAACTAACTGCTTTTGTTTTACTGCTTTTAAGATTCTCTTTCGGCCCTGGTCGGTTTGGCTCAGCAGTTGGAGAATCAGCCTGTGGTCCAGAGAGTCCTGGGTTCAGTTTCCGCTAGGGGCACATACCAAAACAAAACAAAACAAAACAAAAACAAAAACAAAAAATTCTCTTTCTGTCTTTAGCCTTGGTGTGGGCCTCTTTGGGTTCATCTTGTTTTGGACTCTGTGCTTCATGGGCTTGTATGTCTATTTCCTTCACCATGTTAGGGAAGTTACCTGTAATTATTTTTTCAAAGAGTTCTTTTGTTTTTGTTTTTATTGTTGACACTATTACAGATGTCTCCCATTTTCCTCCTTTTTGCCCAACTCGATCCTGTACCCCCTCCTTTCTTTGACCTTTACTACACTATTGTCTGTGTCCATGGGATATGTATATATGATCTTTTGATAATCTCTTCAATTTCTTTTATCCAGTCTGCCCACTCCCCTCCCCTCTGACATCTATCAGTTTGTTCCATGTATCCATGCCTCTGGTTCTCTTTTGTTTGTCAGTTATTTTGTTCATTAGAATTCATATATAAGTGAGGTAACACAACATCGGTCTTTCTCTGACTGGCTTATTTCACTTAGCATAATAATCTCCAGGTCCATCATGCTGTTGCAAATGGTAAGATTTCTTTTTATACCCACGTAGTATTCCATTTTTACCCACTCATCTACTGATGGTTGTTTGGGCTATTTCTAGATATTACTATTATAAATAATGCAGCTATGAACATAGGGGTGCATATATTCTTTCTGATTGGTGTTTTGGGATTCTTGGGATATATTCCCAAAAGTGGTTTCTCTAGGTCAGAAGGCAGTTCCATTTTTAATTTTGGAGGAAATCCTATACTGTTTCTACAGTACCATTTTGCATTCTCATCAACAGTGCACTATGGTTTGCTTTTCTTCACATCCTCACTAGCACGTGTTTATTGGCTTATTGATGGTAGCCATTCTGGAAGATGTGAGGTGCCGTTGGCACCTAAATGAGAGGGATTTACCCCCAGGCTGTGAGGACTAACGGTGACCACTGTGGGGGATCAGCATTGTAGATTCCATTCCCACAGAGCAGGGTTTACTTCAGCAGGGCTCTGGTACCCAATGAGTTTGCCCCTTGAGTGTGTTGCTTGTGAGGGTGGTTGGGTGGTTCTTCAACATACATGGTCTGAATCTGTCCACTGGGTACGTTGGCTCTGTGGACTCTTGGGAGGTTCAGGCCAAGGTCAAGGTCAGCTATCACCTGTGCCCTGCCAGTGGGCACCCAGCATACACCACAGAGTAATCAGCAGAAGCCTGTTATTTGTGCTGTGTTTGGAGGTACCCAGGAGAAGCCAACCTGCAAACTGAGACCTGCTGCCACTAGCGTTGAGCTTGGTGCCACTTAGCAACCAGTAGGAAGCAGATTGAGGCCAGATTCTACTTGATCGAGACATTTTAGGAAAGTCCAAAGCATGAGCCAAGACAAGTTGTTTGTATGAAAAAGCCACTGGAAAAGACTTGGGTAGGCTGGCAAGTTGGATCATGCATAGTCTCAGGTAATCACCAGGGTGGGGTGAACAGTGATAAACAGGTTGGTGAAGACTCAAATATGACCTCCACATACTGGCTCTCTTGGGGGAGGGCTCAGCAAAGAACAATCACCTCTGCCAGTACTTCTGTCTGGGAGAAAGCCACCCTGCCAGCTCTCGCCCTGATACCAGACAATTCCATTCCTCCTTGTATATCCTTGGTGTCATTTGAGCTGCTGCCCCAGAGCTGGAGCTCAGAGTGAGAGGTTTGAAGTTAATCCATGCCCAGCTCCTTTAAGAGGATCTCCTGGGACTCCTACAGCCCTTCGTATCACTGGGGAGCCTTAATCCCCACTGGCTTTTACAGCCAGAAGTTACGGGAGCTTATCTTTCTGGTACTAGAACCCTGGGCTGGGAGGCCTGGTGTGGGGCTGGGACCCCTCGCTCCTTAGGGGAACCTCCACAGCTGAGATATCCCTCCCAATTTTTATCTGTCACAGATGGGTATGAGACCAGACCATTCCGTGTCTCTGCCCCTCCCATGAGTCTCAAAGTGGCTTCTTTATAGCTTTAATTGTCATATTCTGTTCTGCCAGATTTCAGATTTTTGATATGGTTGTGGGAGGATTCTAGTATCAAGTTTACCAATGCATATATATATATATATAATTTTTACCCAAGGACATGTTTTTACAGATTTAGAGAGAGAGAGAGAGAGAGA